AAGTAATATAATCATGTCACTCATTATTTTGTAAAACTTTTGATGTAGTTTTAAAATATATAATTTTTAATTTTACACCTATAATCAAATAAATTGAATGAAAATAAGTTCAATCAAACCTCGTAAATCGAACTAAGAAGATCATTTTAAGATGGAAGGAGTATTAATTATTCAGAACCATACTATTTTCTTCATTTTTTATACGAGTATGTTTTTCATTTATCACTTGATAAAATAATGAATTAGGGGTTAAGGATTACCATGATATAATTTATGATAGATTACGGGTTACTGAATTAGATTATAAGACACTTAATCCGAACCAATTAAAAAATTATATCCAATCGATTAATTTTTTTTGAGGTAATCCAATCGTTTATTTATCTAGCTCAACTCAAGAGTTTATAAACTCATTTGTGGGATACTCTCTAACATGAAATCATTTCATTCTTATTTTATAAATTTTTTATACATTTTTAAATATACAAATTTTTTTAAGAGGAATTTACTTAAATAGCACTAAAATATAATGACTTTCCCTAAATAGCACCACATGTGTTTTTCTTCCCAATGTAGTACTTTTAGTCATTATGCATTAGTCATTATTCAAGTAAATATTCGTCATCACTAAACATTATGGACATTATTAAGTGCTATTTAGGGAATAAAACAATTTAAGTGCTATTTAGGAAAATGACTTAAGTTTTAGTGTTATTTAGTGTAAATATTTCTTTTTTTTAATCATATTAAAGTTTAATAAAATGTTTTTAAAAAAATACTCATATGTAGTATGGTAAAAATATTAACAGGAGAGAGAGTATGTTACGTCTTAAAAACTTTAGTCAACGTTATCCACCCTACGGTTGACTAGATTATTCCTCTCACGTATAGTAGTCCATTATTTCATCATTAAATTGCATTATTGGCTACTTTCTGCCTTGTCAATTGTCATTTGTTACAGCACACCAAGTCCTCCCTTTGAATTGTAGTTATCACTTTGTTTTTCATTAATTTTTTAAAAAAAAGAATCAAATATACTCTCTCCGTCCTAAATTATTTGTTACATTTCTGTTAATTTTTTTTCAATTCATTTTATTTACATATTGATAAAAAAATAAAAATTACATGTCAAAAAACTACATGAAAAATTCTTCGAAATAAGAGATGTCAATAATATTTTATTTTATCAAATAACCAATGAAAACATAGAAATAAACAAAAATTCTCAGGATTGTTGAAAAAGCAAATGTGACAAATAATTTGGGATGGAGGGAGTACTAGATACGGAGTATATTAGTTTCTTAATACTCCCTTCATTCTAAAATTAATTTCTCACTTTGATTTTTGTAATTAAATTTTTTAAATTTTGACCTCATACTAAAAAAAATACATATTCAATATTCATACAAATTTATTATTATAGATTCATTTTGGAATATAGCATTGAAATATATTATTTTTATAATATATGTTTTTATAAAAACAGAGATATTAATGGTCAAAATATTGCATTGGAGACCATGAAAAATCAAATAATAATTTAATTATTATAAGAGGAAGGGAGTATATTTTGCTTATTTGTATGTTTTAATGTATATTACTCCGTATCTAATAAAATAAAATATTCCCGACATATCTTGCATAAAATTAATTTCTGTTAGAAATTAAACAAAGATAATTGACGAGGAGATGCTAAAAATAAGGGCATTTTAGGAAGAAATTATTTTTACTCTATTTAGTAGCTACGGAGTATGTAGGTGAAGTTTTTCTATTGAATCGATCATTATCTTCTTGTCTTATTCCTCCCATTTTATTTTTCATCTAGTTAAGTTTTGGAGGTGAGTGAGGGGCCTAATGAAACTTGTCTTTCAGTATCCAAATATAGGCATAGATAGGATTTGTGCTCACTCATTTCAAACATTACTTGTGATAATCATAATTAAATTACTCTTAAATACATCATAATCACTTGCAATATAGGATCAAATGATTTTTGTATGACTTCTTTTTAATATTATATTTTGTTTATTTAAATTCAAGTTATCAGATATAAAGTTTCAATTATCAAACTTTTTAATTTAATTTTTAGAATGCAGACTCTAATCTTCATATCTTAGTTAAAATTACTACACTGTATTACTTCTTTCATTTGAATATAAGGCATGGTTAGACTTAGCCCCGTCTGGCATCAACTTTAGAAGTTAGCATTAGAATTTTGAAAAGTCTATACGACGATAATTACCTTTATCATTAACGTTTTCAGATCTAATCTACACTATTTAAATTTTATTCAAAATGCTAACGTTCATTGAAAACGTTGTTTCCAAACAAGACCTTAAACAAAAAGTGAATAAACTACGGAGTATTAGGTTATTAAAAGTAATTTAAATTTATTATTCGTTGTTGAATAATACTCCGTATTGTCTACACTACTTTATAAACTAACATAAAGTCTACTCCGTAATAATAATTCATCACTTTTTTTTCCAATTATTTGATAAATAATAATCTCTCCTTGATTTTTTTTCATTTATAGTTTATTAGGTTTGGCTAAAGTTATTTTTAGCTTAAGTTATTTGAAAATTGGTGCGAAATTTAAAAAATATAATTTATTTATTGAAAAATTATATGAAAATTTCAACAAATCAACATTTGACTTATTGTCAAAGAATCAACTGAACCAAAAACTCATACTTGTAGTTGATCCAAGAAAGGATTTTATATACTCTAAAACACCCCTCACATACTGGCGTGACTTATTTAAGCTTTACACGTGAAACTTCGATTTTTTCAATAAGACTTTGTTGTGAACGACATTGAGTTTTGAAGTCGTGACCTCTTGAACAATAAGACTTTAGTACCATGTTAAGGAACCATTTCAACCAAAACCTCAAGTTTTGTCGTTATGACCCAAAAAAGGTATTTAAATACTCAAATACTTAACAATTTTATTTTATCACATTGATCATTTAAAATATGTAAGAAAAAAATATAGTTTGACTATAAAGAATGATAGTACCACTATGTCCATTAAATGTTAACTAACAAAAAACTTTTATATTCTAACGAATATCAATCAAAAATTAAAAGAAATATTTGCACTAAATAGCACTAAAACTTAAGTCGTTTCCCTAAATAGCATTTAATTTGCTTTATTTTCTAAATAGGCACTTAATAATGTCCAGTGATGACAAATATTTGCTTGAATAATGACTAATGCATAATGACTAAAGTGCTACATTGAGAAGAAAAACACATGTGGTGCTATATAGGGAAAGTTATTATGTTTTAGTGCTATTTAAGTAAATTTCTCACATTAAAATCCAAGTGGGACGGGCCGGGAGGGAATAATAAAATTGTCTTGATTTTTAAAATTTGTTTTAGCATTATATACAATTTGTAGTGGTTGCACTTAATAAAATACGGAGTAATATTTTGAAAATTAAAAAAAGAGGTCTAATTTTTTTCGAAATTTACTTAAATAGCACTAAAACATAATGACTTTCCCTAAATAGCACTACATGTGTTTTTCTTCTCAATGTAGCACTTTTAGTCATTATGCATTAGTCATTATTCAAACAAATATTCGTCATCACTGGACATTATGGACATTATTAAGTGCTATTTAAGGAATAAAACAGTTTAAGTGCTATTTCGGGAAATAACTTAAGTTTTAATGCTATTTAGTGCAAATATTTCTATTCATTTTGTATTCACGTAAAAAAAAGAAACCGTAAACTTTACTCAGTGACAAAGAAGCTAAGATGACAAAAAAATGACCAACTTTATTTACCTTTGAGGTGTTTCTTGTCGTGGGATTTCTCAGGCCTTTTCCAGTCATAACACCTGATGCAGTAAACCTTCCCAACAACCTTAACAACTAAACCATGATGATGATGATGATGTGGAGGGTAGTGATGTGTAGGTGGCGGCGGCGATGTGTAGTAGTACGGCGGAGGAGGAGATTTAACCGGTGGCGGTGGGGACTTGTAATAGTATGGTGGCGGAGGAGATTTTGCTGGTGGTGGTGGAGACTTATAGTAGTACGGAGGCGGAGGAGATTTAACCGGTGGTGGAGGAGAGTTGTAGTAGTACGGAGGTGGAGGTGATTTTGTTGGCGGGGGAGGAGAACGGTAGTAGTACGGTGGCGGAGGAGACGGGAAAGGTGGTGGTGGAGACTTATAGTAGTAAGGTGGTGGAGG